CCACCAGAAAATGTCCTGGCCGTTCCCCTCGACTCTTAATGACCTGTGCCCACTCTTACAAATGGAGAACCAGGCCCATAACTGCGTGACTGTACTTCTGTGATTTCAATGCTTCGGCACAGGTTCAATTTATGCGTTTTGCTGTCATTTGATTTGCTTGACCACACGCCTCGCTTATGGCTTAAGCTCTTTTGGATTCCGGATTTTGGGCCAACAATTTATGCGCCATCACTTTTGCCTCCGAATCCCAGTCCAATTCCCAATTCCAGTCCGATCTGTCCTTTATGCTGCTACACTGAGTTTGTGGGCTTCCTTCTAAATCCCTTAAAACCTCAAAAAAGCAAAGTCCTAGCCTGTCGTAACCGGCCGGACTGGCCGGATCATTCATTTATTTTGCAGGAATTGCCGGCAGCGTTTGACTTTCGTTTTGCTTTAAACTGCTCTCGACCTTTGTCAAAAGTTTTGAGGCCAAAAACTTTGTGGCAAAAATCAAACTGTGGATAATGATGAATGCGGCCAGCACTTTGTGGACTAATGCTCCGACTCCTGGCATGTGGGCCTGAATAATTAACGCATCGTTGGGCAGCATTCTGGCCAGGCCCAAACCCGATTTCGGACTCGGATGTGACCGCAATTCCCAGCTCTTTCTCCTGTTTGTTTGTCACTGAATGAGCGAGTCGGTCAATTTACATTTCGATTTCACTTCCTGGTGAACATTTTCCTGCCATTTTTTCTCGCAGTTTGTCGATTCTTTGCGTGTGACTGTCAAATTTATGGATCCTTGGAAAATTTATTTGGGGTCGACCCAGTGTGATTAGGGTTTGCAGAGATTTATGCTGCAGTTGCTTCCTGCTGCGCGAGTCCTTATTAAGGCTCATTAAGGCCGGCGCGGGATTAAGTTCAAAGAGGACCGGACCGACCGGCTGTTGGGAGGCAATAAAATATAAATGTCATCAGTTTCGCTTTAGGGGAAAATGTAAAAAAGAGCGCTCCCGCCGCTTCTGTCAACAGCAACAACAGCCACCGAACCAGGAGCCGGAGCAGAAGCACCATCGTCTGCTCATAAACTCATAAATTTAGTGAAAAATGGCAAATCGATTCCGCTTTTTCTGCGGTCGGTCATTGTTATTACAAAACTGTCAGACCCGGGGCCAAGTGTAAGGCAAATGCATCTCCTATCTCCACCTCCGGCTCTGACGAATCCTCTGGGCCGGACTCCCCCTCCACCCCGGCCAGTTGGCAAATCCCTTTTGATAAAGTACTTTCCGTCCTCCGATGTGGAGGCTGACTGGCAAGTTGCGATGGCTGCTCGGCTTCGAGCTCAAGTGTCGCATTATGGCCATTCTCGGAGGCAACGCCTCGATGGCTTCGCAGTTTTCAGCTCAGTTCGTTTTAGTGGTGGATTTGGCAATAAGAGGCGACCAGATTTATGCAACTGCTTTCATGCGTAATTATTTGCTGACATCTTAATAGTTTTTTCAAGTCGCCTTAGCCGCTTTGACGCTTTTATTTGTAGGAAATTTTACAACCGAAAATAGCTGACAATCGGGTTTTCTTTGCTTTGGCTTTGGTTTTTTTTTTCGATGGTACGAGTTGCTACATAAATATTTTAGATCCTACACTTAGGCATAATTGTTTTGCGGAAGCTTTCTTTTTTATTTGCTGGCTGTGATCCGACCCCCTCCAGCTTCCTTTCAAGCAGCTGGCATCTGTCACCCGCCCTCATACGAGCGTGTGTATTTATACCACACATATATATACTAAGGAGTCCTTTTTAATGGGGCCCCCGTTTAACGACATTGCCAGGAGCACCATAAATAATACAAATAATAGAAAACGGAGAAATATAAAATTCGTTTTTCTTGTTTGGGCTGATGGTGCCGCTTCTGCTTTCGCTGTCTTTCTGACAATTTGTCGTGTGAGCAACTTTTTGATAGGCCGCACCGCACTCGAGTCTCGAGTCTCGAGTCTGGAGTCTCACTTATTGCCCGCCGATAAACCTGGCGTACTTTTCTCGCCTCTCTCTTTGGCCACCTAAGTCTGTCTCTTTCTGAGCGTCCTGCTTCGGGTAGGCCAAAAACAAGCTTAAGTCCTTGTCGTCCTTGGCGAGGCGCCGCCACCTTGGGGCTTTTAAGTTTGACGCTCGTTTATAGACTTTGCACACTTTGCATTTACTTTACGGCGCCGCTGATGCGGCTGATAATAAGACCACGCGGCGTATGCGCAATGCCAAGGAGGAAACAGGGCACTGGAGGAGAGGTAAACAACACAAAAACAATGGAATAAACGAAAGTTAGGCAAAGTTTTTACAGCCCGATACACACACGCCTCTGAGACACCTATCCCGCATCCACCAGTCAGCATCCAGGAACTGGCGACCGTCCTCCGTGGCGGATTTCGCCTGGGGCATCCACAAGGCCCAGACTCTTGGAACTTGGAACTCACAACTCTCGGGCATTGCTTTTGTTTCGGTTGAGCCGAAGCTTGTTTTATAACTTTTTGATTGTCTTTGCGCCAAATTTGTGCAAAATTGTTCAAGACCTGAGCCTCGAACGCCTCGCACCTGAAAATTGTTCGCCATACATTACGGCTGCCATGTATAATATTTGGCTTAATCTGATTTCTGCCACTCAAGTTAACTTCGACAGCAGGCGGGTCAAAACTTCGCCCGTGGCAGAGCAACAATTTATAGACCGTTTACAATATTTATTTCGATTGGTAAGGCCAACTTTCTCTTCCGGGATCTGTTGCCATATTCTTAGGTAGGGGGAGAGTCTATTAAAGTGCAATGCCAACCAGATGGGCAAGCGGCAGGCTGGGAAACTTTCATTAGATATGCCAAAAGCGTCTTTGCACAAGTCAGTATTCGTATTGCGAGGCCTTGAGGGCATTGAGGGTCGTTTGGGGACCGGGGGAAGGCAACTTGCTTTGTCAAAGTCGTCACATGTCATACGGCAGCCGGCAGACGGCCGGGCAGAATCCTGGCAGCCAGTCAGGCATCCTGACATCCTGGAAGAGCCGAGCAGTCAGTTAGTCTGCTGCAGGCTACGGGCGTCCATCTTCTCGTTTTCCCCTTGCCGCTCGAGGCTTCCATCTCCACAGCTGTCCCTGGCTGTCGTCGGAGTGATGTGTGTACAGTGAGTACACATCCGCAGCCACATCCTCACACAGCCACTGTGGGGTCTTCAGTTGGCCCGAAGGGCAGACGCAGCCCTGCCATTGAGGTTTCTCTGAGTGTACATACTTGCCTTGTTATTGCTGCCGCCGTCGTCGCAATTATTACATTTGTATGGACATGTGGCCACATTAAGTATACGACGCGAAGGCCAGCCCTTGCCTCAAGCTGTTGCTGCTGCTGCTGCTTCAGTTGATGCTGAAGTGGCTGTTAGCCAGTGGCTTGACACAATATTTATTCAAACGCAAATGTGTAGTAGTTCTGCAGTTCGCTGTTTAGTTAGTCAAATTGATTTATGTTTTGCTTTAATTTCAAAATTAAATTTACCATCAAGAGTTTGGCAAATACAGGGCTATTGGCTGTTGGCTGTTACTCCTTTGGCCAAGAAGAGTGAGTATGCCCGTCACGTGCGCCTTTTGTTGCTTCTGTAAATAAGTGCTCGACAGTCTTGCCAACTCAATTAAGCCGTCAAGCGAGCGAGTGCTGAGTGGGCTAACTAATGAACTCCACGGCCCGAAGAGAAGCCTCTTTCACCACCACCGCCCACATAAATAATTCAATCACAACAATTTCAGCACGGAAAATCAATAATAATCGCATCAAGTGTCGGGGGGCAGTTTCGATTACACTTTTCGAACCAAGCAACGTGTTTAAATTCTTAAGGACCCGTACACTCGGAATACTCGGAGCACTCCGGCCGAGTGCCGAGTGGCAGGGCTGCTAATCTGTGGCATGGGTCTCCATAAAGATTCATTTCATTTAATGACTTGAAATTGATTTCACTGTGGCATCGGCGCATTTTATATGACGCTCCCGACCGAGAATCTTGCCGCCGGGTAAATTGCAAAAACGTGCTTTACGACAGGATGATCTCCCAGCTCCTTCTGCTGCTCCTTGGCGTATTAATTTTTCAGCAATTACGTTGCCAGCGACAACGTGTAATAGATACGAGCGGAAAGCTCCCAGCCAATGGGGTTCTTGTGTTTTACGAGCTACTCATTGAGTTTTTGATTAACTTTAGCCCGAAATGAAGCCGTAATGGAATTTAACTTTGTGGCATACTTTGCACAGCTTATTGGCTCGCTAATCAAATTAAATTTGCCAAACGTAGTCCCCATTAGCAGCGACATTTGCAATTCATTGATCACGCCATCAGGCTGGCAGTGCATGTTGCAAGTGCCACTGCTGCTGATAAGGTAATAATTTACAATTTATTAAAATAAAAAGCATGCGCAACCTGTAAACGACTCGGACTTCCTTCTGCTTACCGCACGGCCTGGTCCTCTGGGACCTCCACATCACCCCACACCGCCCAAGGTTCGGACCACACTGGACCGTAGCGGAATGTTTATGAAGTAAATAATCGAAGCGTGCCCCATGAATTATTCATGAGTCTTATGGAAAAGGCAGCAGCCAAAGGTGGCAGGTGCTGAGAATGCGTCCGGCTGTTGCCCCGCCATCTGACTTCCCTTGCCCATTTTCGTCCTTGCCCTATGTGCGTGACATTCGACTTTTTCGGAGGTCCAAGAAGTAAAGTCTAACATGCCTGCCCACCATTTGCAATTAACCAGCAGAAGCCTTTCATCAGAAATTTTGCATATGCACACAAGAGTTAAATGGCAGTATTTATAAATAAATTGAAGAGGCCATTCCAAAGCCAATAGCTTGTTTGAAACTAAAACTGTGGCAAAATATTAAAATCTTTAAAAACTATTACACAAAGAGTTAGAAGTATTAAAATCAAATAATTTACGGTCAGACTTTAAATGAACATGAAAACATGACTTTAAATGAAAAACAAGGCATTTCCTCAAATTGTACTCACTTATTGGCTTTGTTTGCAGTAATCCTAAAAGTAAAGCGATTATCCAAAAAATATTCATATTTCCGTTTGGGTTTGTTCCGACTGAAGTGGCAAACAAATGCCTGGCTTCCGTCAAGTAAAAATTGCCTTGCAGGGGGATTTAGCCTAGGATTGAAATCCAAAATTCTCACAAAATTCGCACTTTCTTGAGCGGCTTGATTATCTTCACAAAACTAATGAATAATGTGGTAAGGTGGTTTGTTCTGGGGTTTAGAAGGGGTAAACTAATATGTGGGTTCTACTTTTGGCACCACCACCAACTACCAATCACGGCACATGAAGTATTGATCGCAGACTCGGAAAAGGAGTTACATGTTTGATTGAACGCGCGCAGCTAATTAATTCGCGCACTCGCAGATGCAAATTTTTGAGGAAACCCGCTAGCAGATGTCCTGCCTCTTCCTTTCTCGTCACTCACTCGCACTCACTGACACTGTCACTTTCACTTTCACTTTCACTCGAGCACACTACACTACAAAAGCAGAATCGAGTAGGGCTGGGGTAGCACTGGCTCCTGGCTCAAAAACCACTGGCTCCGGGGCTGTTTGCATGCGCGCACTTGTTGTGCTCGTCGCAAGCGTTTATCCTAGACTGAAGTGGCAGGCGCCACGCACTGCCAGCCTGGAAAATTGACGGCTCGGGATACACCCACACCTGAACCTCGACCAGAACCTTTCCCACCAAAAACCGAATCGAGAGTGGGCCGATGTGGGTGGGTGTGGGAGTGAAGTCCTTCCAATGCCACGAGAGAGTCAAAGCTTTCGCTCCGGAGCTTTTTCTCTCAATTATCCGGACAGTTGTTGCGCCACGGCAACAGTTCCTTGTCCCTAGCCCCTCCACTAAATGTTGTGCCGGTTCCAGCCACCCCTGACTGCTCGGCTTCGGAGTGGCAATCGACTGAATCAACAGGCTGCTGGATGGCTGATGGCAGGCGGTAGATGGCAGATGGTAGATGCCATTCCATTCACTTTGTTTGCGGACCGAATTGCTTTAAATGCATTAAGTGTGGCCCAGACGAGGCTTATGCCGCTCAACCACCAGCAATGTATTTTTAATTGCCTCAGAAATCGACTTTAATTGCTATTTGACAACACTATAATAGCTATTATTTTAAATTTATAATTGAGTCGTATGCTAAGGCAACGTGAAGCTCGAGTTATTCCAAAAAACGCAATGAATTCTTAATACTTTCAGCAATTGACATTAATTGGATTCTTTCGACATCAGTTCGTGTTTTACCATAAACAGTCAATTTAAATGCCAATAATATTTTAACCCTCATTCTGTTTGCTGTTTGAAATGTTTACAATCATAATTTACTTCGGAAAAATATTCAAATATGCATGGAGACTCGGCGGGACTAAAATATTATAATTTTTGTTTCGAAAACACTCAATTATATTCCATACAACGACCAGTTATCGAACACTGACCCCATTGTTACCGAAGCTGCTCTAACTCCTTCGCTGTCTACGTTGCTGACAGGGCATTACTCATTCCCTGTAATATTCTCCGGTTGACAGGAGTTCCTCGTTTCGATTCCAACTTGCCTCTTGGCAGCTGAATAGAGTCCTTGACGGTGGCACTTTGCGGGAAATGGCATTTAAGTTTTGGAATAAATGATGGAATAAATGAACACGGAATTATTTAAGCTAATTAACCATTTAAGACGTCCACACATCTCCGGCACGTGGTAATCTTGCCTGCGTTTTATAGGACTTCTACTTTTTAAATTAACGGCGGTGAGGAGCTCCGTGATGGCACATGGCCGTAAACTTTTACGTCCGGCTCAGCACACGGAGGATCAGGGCACCACCAGCGTGTCCTGCGCATGGTCATTTAATTTTCCCAACGTCCGTCCACTTTTAATTACAAACAATCAAATCAGTTTGTGTTTGCTTTTTTCCGCCATTGTGCGACAACCGCGGTGGGCGATGGGCTAGATGGCCAGACTGGTTCTCCTCCAGAGTCCGGGCCCGGAGCACATCATTGTCACAAGTGAGCGGCAGGTCTGCGGAGGAGCTTCAGCTCTGCAACGCCAACCATTTTGTGTTTTCTGTATGTGTTTGGACTTGTGCTTTGACTGCCAGGCTGTCATCATTAGTGACCACAACACAAAAGTTGACATTGCGCTAAATGGGAACATGGCCGGTTGGTCACCAGCTTGTTTATCCTAGTCAGGGTGTATGTGTTTTCGAGGGAGGGGTTCCCTGGCATACCTCGCCCAAGGTATTAAGTCATAAAAAGAATGGTACTCGCTAATTTGCGAAATTATATTCCCCACCTCCGCCTAACGTCTCATTCCAACAAATGTCCTCGCCCCGCCCATAGGTCTGACCACTCAACAGCCTTCGGTCAGGGCCATCATAAGCGGTTGAATTAAACAAAAAAATTGCAAATATGTATTCTTGTTATTTCACAGTTTACACTAAAAATGGAATAAATGCAAACAGAATTCATTCCTATTTCCCAGCAATATTTGTTTATGTAAATGTTGAGAATATTTTGATAGGCGCAGAATTTTTGAGTTTCTGGCAACTGGCACAACTGAAAATTAATGAAATACCAAAAAAAAATGCAGAAAATGCAGCTGACGGAAAAATAATATAAATCCTGCAACCGCTAGTTTTTCCCACACATTTATGACGCATACATTTGGTTGAAAACCCATCAACCTCTGGCACATAAATCATAAAGATATTATAATCAAATATTTCCTCATTCAACTAAAAACTTTTATCATAAAATAAGAGAGTAAAGCTAACTTCGGACGGAATCCTGATCCTGAATCCTGAGACAAAATATTTTTTCGATTTTTTGTCCATTTTTGTGATGGGATTCCTTGAAAATGCGGTTTTCCCCTATGGGGTCCACAGTGATGGCTATATCTTCCCCAATTCTCATCCGATTCTCAAGCGGAGTACCTTAAACGATTTCTGGATCGATTTGCCACCATTCTGCATCAAAATCCTGAGACAAAATATTTTTTCGATTTTTTGTCCATTTTTGTGATGGGATCCCTTGAAAATGCGGTTTTTCCCTATGGGGTCCACAGTGATGGCTATATCTTCCCCAATTCTCATCCGATTCTCAAGCGGAGTACCTTAAACGATTTCTGGATCGATTTGCCACTATTCTGCATCAAAATCCTGAGACGAAATATTTTTTAAATTTTTTGTCCATTTTTCGTGATGGGATCCCTTGAAAATGGGGTTTTCTCCTGTATGGCCCACAGAGATGGCTATATCTTTCCCAATTCCCATCCAATTCTCAAGCGGAGTACCTTAAACGACTTGTGGATCGATTCTCCACCATTCTGCATCAAAATCCTGAGACGAAATATTTTTTAATTGTTTTGTTTATTTTTCGTGAAGAGTTTCTTGATTGGGTTTCCCCCTACCCCCTAATTTTACACTGTCGTTAACTTTAAAACTGAGAGACATCCATTCAGGAGGTGATCCTGATCATTAATATATATACTTTATAGTGTCCAAGCGAATTTTCTAAAAATAGAAGAGGAGTTGGCATGCCACAAGCCAATTGCAGACACCCAGGATTGCGATGCGAGACAAATGCAAGTAAAGCCGGTGTTAAACAAAGGCTGGGCATTGGTGCCTGGGTTTTATTTTTTGTTCGTTGTCGCTTTGGAGAGCAGAGCTACGTGAATAACAACAGCAAACAAAGCTCATTTACAGGGGAAATAGCCTAAGTGCAAAAACCATTTAAATGCAAATTAAGCACAAAGTGAAAACATGTGAACAAAGCGGCAAACACACGGCCGAGTGTACTGGGGCACGCACACAGGCTGGCGGTGGCTGGCACGTATTTGGGGCAGGCTCCTGTTTTTGGCTTCCTCTGGCTTTCGAAGGAATGCCCAACTTTGGGCTATTCTAAATGTAAAATAGTTTGGAGCCGCAACCCACAACAAATACCTTTGGCGGAGACCTAAGCAGAGCCCCGCCTGCTCGTGTTGCGATTTAAATAAATTCATATGCATAAATGGGCCAGGGAAGTCAACTGCAGCTGACAAAGTCAACAGCCTGCCCTATGCCCGGTAATTGACTCCAAGATCCAGGCCCAAAGATATGACCAGGTCACTCACTACCCACCTGCTGGTCCTTGGGCCTGAGTCCTTGTTCGTTTGTCCGGCAACTTCACGAGCAATTTACCCTGCGTATCAGCACCAGGCTAATGAAGTTACACACGTCTCCACGACTCTCCCGGCTCCAACCGAGAGGTGCATTACACCGGACACTGGTCGCCGTCAATTGCACACCAGTTGAATGGCCTCCACTCAATGGGCTGCCACAGGCCTCGAACGACCTGTATGCGTGCCAGTGGCCAAGTTGGAAATTACTCCCAGAGGGATTTGTCCAATTTATGTTGTTTTTTATGTCAATAATGTCGAAATGTAGTCATGAACATAATGATAAGTGCCTAGTACTTTGCAATATTAACATGTCAATCAATTTTTTTCCAAAACATGTATTTCGTATGTAATTAAGCTAATCAATTTTAAATTTAAGTAGAAAATGCTTGGATTATAATTTCTGAAAGTAGTTTAGGCTTCTCAACCCCCTTTCGTGTGTACCCATGGATTGTAAATTCCATGGCAATTCCACGTCCGAGTTCGCGATGCAATAGTCTTTGAATATTTCGCACCACAAGCCATGGGTGCTCTACCGGCAGGTTGTCCGAGTGCTGGTCTTATTTATGTGCACTTAACAAACAGAGCGGGAAACGACATCACTCCCCTGCGGGGGAGAGTTGGGGCTTCCGGGATACACCACCCAGACATTGCAAATTGAGCAGCCAGCCGCAATCATTTTTCCCCTGCAGAGAACGAGCGAATTGGGAGTCGTTTAGCACATTCCATAGCCGGACCAGATTGCACTGGGATCTGGGTGCAGAATGACCAGACCCGAACACAATCATGCTTTTCTAGATTCTGTGCGACAAAAAATGTTCGACTATGTGGAAATCCATATTATTGATTTTTGGAATGGAATAGAGAAACAATCAAGGCTTCGAATGAAATCCATCAAGATCAACGTTCTCAGTTAAATGAGAAAATAATAATCCACCCTATCTCCAAAAAGTTTACCCAGGGAATTGAGTAATAAAGCCCCAGCTCATGATGCTTCCTTCGACATTAGCTTGTTGATTTTGTGACTGTTTCGATGATGCGTTCATTCTTGTAAAATCTTATTAACTTTCATTGTTGCTGTTGGTGAGGCGGCTGCTGCCAATGCCCGGTCATGTATCAACTGTCACAATGAAGTTTCACCAGCACGGATGGCCCTGGCCAAGCCCAGACCTCAGACCCCAGGATCCTAACCCCAAAACCCCAAACCAAATCCGACCCACATTCGACGCCCAGACTCATCATTGTGCTTACAGTTCATTTGATATTAATATAGACGCTCTCTGGTCAGTCGTTGCTGCTGTTGCCGCTACATATGTTTTCATTTGTTTGACGCTGATGATGACAACCCTCATCAAAAGTTTGCGCCGATGGCCGCTCGATTGCTCGGGCGAGTGGTCAACGGCTGTTGACAGGCCACTTTGACAT